TAAGTAAATTATTATTGCTGTATTATTAGCTTTTATTGATATTTCAATTCTTGTAATACATTTTGATTCTCATAATTCATTTTGACTATTATAATTTATTTCAGTTTTATATTTTGACCATAGAATTTTTTTTTTAATCATTTTGACTTTGTTATTTAATTTCAGTTTTATTTATAAATATCTCCTTTCTTTGAAAAAACAATAGTTTAAATTTTGGAGTACATTTTAACTAATGCATTTGAATTTTTAAATTATAGAGTAATATAAATTTTATTATTTTGGAAAACAGATATCAATTAAAATATATTTAAAGAGCGATGGAAGAGAATTTTGGTATAAGCTAAAAAGAGTGGATAAATCAATGCAATCTAATTCAATTTTAATAGTAAATGAGACTCAATTAATTTACAGAAAAAAAAAAAAATTAATGTCAATAATGTAAAAATTGCAGTTCAATTATGAATGATTATTAAAATCTCTTTCAAGAAGTGATATTATAATATTTATAGCATGTTTATAGCCATGAATATATAAGTTCTAATAATACAGGATTCACAACTTTTGCAGAACCTATTGACATTAATTTCACTCTGAGTGAAACAAAAAAAAATGAGGAGTTCAGTAGCAATTACTTTAAAATTTAAATTAACTAACTAAATATCTCAAAATTATATACTGTAAATATATTTAAAAGATAACAGAAGGATATATGGATTTGGTTTATTACATCTTGATATTAGATATAATAAAGTAAATCAATACTAATCACCTAATTTGAAAAGAAATATTTAAGTATTTGAATTCAGAATGGGTTGATTTACCTATTTATACCAATACTAAAATTTCTGCACTTTATATTATGCAACAAATAGCATGTGGGAATATTTACTCTAAAAGGAAAATTTTATTATATTAAGGTTGCTAATCCTGTTGCCTATTATGTGATTTAATTCGTGATCCGCCAGTGAACCATAAAACTTGGCTATTAAATTCCGGTGAAAGTTATATATATATTTACTAATAGCACAGAATCTACAGTTCCGCCAATGCAAGGTACAAATTACTAAAATATTATATGAAAACTAATATTATAGGCATAAAAATATGCCATTTGGCTATCTTAATAATAAAAGACTGGTAAAAATTTTAAGCACCAAAAGACACTTTCATAAGAGCTGAAAATTTGAATTTGAAAAAAAAGAAAAATTTAGTATTTTAAAATTTTAAAGATAACTCATCATCTAGTGGTCGTATGAAAATAAAATTTGGTTTATCGGATTCGTCTCATTGAGACGCATCTAATGGTAATGATTTTATGTCTTTATGACCAATAGAAGGCGAGTTATCCCATATTTTTTCTCCAGAATCGCAGATTCTAAATTATTGATAAAAATATATATGAACTTATCACCGCCTTTTAATAGTCAAATTTTATGGTTCACTGGCAGATCACGAATTAATATTTCTACTGGCAAATCAAAATCTATAATAGGACGAAGTGGCTCATTCCCATCAATAAATTTGTGTAAGGAATGACCTTCACAATCTGAGAATAATATCAAATGGGAGGTAAATACATTTGCCAGTATTTTTCCAATTAAGGGAAGGTTTGTGGGTAGGGATGCAGACAACAAGAAGGGTATTATTTTCACCAGAAAAGACACCAGTGACCTCTATGCAAACATGAACATTGTATGGTGGCTTCTGAATATGGGTTATGTGATTGGCATATAAAAAAGTGCCATTTGAATACATATTAACACTGAAAGAAATTAGATAAGGTACTTTAAAATAGGTAGAAACTGAAAGTATTTGAATAGACTCTTAATAGAATCAGTTAAAATGCCTGATTCTATAAGTTAGTCCTAATTAGAATTCCAAATGGATCAGGTTAGGTCAGGTTATATCAGATTATCTGTTTGACCTGACCTGAACTAAAACCTGAAAATTTTTGGGATTTTTTAACAAAATATCAAAAAAAATGGTACAAACCATTTTTTTTAAAAAATTTTTTTATATTAAAATCATATAAAAAGGTGAATCACAATACTGCAACTAACTTTTTTATATTAATTTTATATATAAAAAGTGAATTCTAATACTGTAATTCACTTTTTATATATAGAATTAATATAATAAAAGTGAATTTTGATACTATAATTCACTTTTTATATATAGAATTAATATAAAAAAATGAATTCTGATATTGCAACTTACTTTTATTATATAAAATCAATATAAAAAAGTGAATCCTAATATCACAATTTACTTTTATTATATAAAATCAATAGTTTCAGATCATTCAAGTTATATTGATATTACAACCTAAACTGATAAATTCAAATCAACCTGTTTAGAACTTTAACTCTAATGACTTGTCAAAAATTTGGCTCTATATTCCATAAAATTTTTTATAGGAACGCAAAAAAAAATTTAACAAAAATGTTAAAAGTATTTTTTTTAATGATTTTAGAATTTTAAAAAGGCATTTTTATCATTTGTTTTTATAATCTTATGAGTCCCTATAAAATTTCAAGCTTTTTTACTTTTTTTTTATATTTTTGAAATCTGTTATTATGTTAATGGATTTTTGCCAAGAAAATTTTTTTTCTAGAATTTTTTTATTTTATAGGAACATATAGAGTCATAAGGATAAATAAAACTTTTCATGAGTTAGCTTACAAATTAAAAGTACTTTAAAAATATATTGGCTTGTGAACTAGACTTGCAAGCCAATATATTTTTAAAGTACTTTTGGCTTATAAACTGGCTCGTGAGGAGCTTTAGAAATAAATAGTAAAAAAAGAATTTCATTTACTTATAAGATAGGTCACTCTAAACTTAAAGTAAAAATCATATATAAATTCTTTGTAGATCCTATTATAAAAGGAAATTTTATGTTACATTGTTATGATTTTTTTTCTTTTTAGCTAATTAACCAATAGAATTTAAGAAAAAAGTAAGGTAAAAATCATTAGTAAAAGGCTAATTTTCTACAATGATCTTTATTATAAATAAGTGGGATTTTAGTAAAAAACTTAATAAATCAAGTTAAGTAATCTAAAAATAATATTAAGATTATTTTTATAAGTGTCCTTATAAATTTTTCTTATAAAGATAAAGAATTTTTATAGAAATATTCAAAAAATTAGTATACTCATTATCTTGACTCAGTTTAAACTATAATTGGATCTTAGAAGTACTTATAACATTCTACAATTATACTTTAAAACCTCAGAAACATCTCACTTTTGATGACAAATAGGTGATCAAAAGTAAAATTAAACTTAGTTAGCAATAATATGTAAGTACTAAAAGCAGTGTTGGGTTTTGGACTTGTCCAATTGGTTTTTTTAATTGGACAATTTTGGACTGTCCAAAACCAGTTTTGGACATAGTTTTGGACATAGTTTTGGACAGTTTAAAACT